AGCTCCTGGCTGGGCTCTGCCCAGGTACTCAGCGTAGGCATTCATCTCAAATTCTGCTGCAGGCTTAAAAAAAAAGATACAAAAAATCTCATTTTAGATGTAAACTTTCTGACCGCCGCTACTTTCACGGCGTTTTGTTTTCTTTCTCTGCTGCTGGCATCAGGCTGGGCAGCACTTCAGAGGGTGGAAGGAAAATAGAGCAGACGGGTGGAACATTTTGGAGGAATGAGGCTGTGGGCCAGGGGAGACATGAAGATTAAAATATTAATTTTTTTATCAGTTGCTTTGTCTTTTTTATTTCATGGCCTTTTAAATTGTTGCCATCGTATAGTCTGTGTTGTCCTGTAAAGTGCCCTGACTGCTTTCACTGCTGTGCTGGAGGCTGATTAGAGTCTATGGTTAATTTGGGGATAAGTGCTCATGGAATAAAAAGACAAAACAAAACATAAAAAATTGTTGAGCCTGTCTGAGGAGAATAAAGCAACTAAATCCACCTTGTAAAGATAAGGTAAAGAAATTCCAGATGGCAGATTTACACTTGTATGCTGGTGCTATCGCCTCAAAAAGGGTCTGGTGATGGAATTGGGTTTTTTATGTTACAGTAATTAACAGAATGCATCTTCTCATGAAAAAATCCAGCAGGAGACATAGAAAGTTACAATTAAACATTCTCTTTATTGGGGCCTTGCTCCAAAATGGCACAAGTGATAAATGCTCAGAGCGCTCATCAGTGCTGCTAATGAAAAGACCCAGAGTCACATTTTACACTTTTATTTGGATTTAGATCAACACCACAGATAAGATACTTTGGTCAAACACAAGAACAGGTTGATATGCCGCTTTTTCCTGGCTGCAATAAGTACAGTTACGTGGAAGAAAAATGCTGGTTCTCCTGGAACACTGAATGTAAATCTTGGATTGGCACATACAGCTAATAAATACGTTGTTTGCACTTAGCACTTTAAAACGGAATTGCACATGCAAGATGTAACCAGGCTACTGATCACCTTCAGCATTGTCCCTGTACTATTTTTACTTTTTAAGCTCTTTGCTTGCCTTTTTCCCAGCAAGAAAAAAGAATATAATTTGCTGCTCTATTCAGTATTTCAGTGACTAGTCTGCTGATTTTGACACATTTAGCAAAGGTCACACTGAAGTCCTTCCTGATAGAACTGATATCTCCTCTACAGCTTGACTTGCAACAATATATGCATCGCAGGTAGCAATGGAAATCCACCGACGTGAGGTGAGAGGTCTGCCCAAAAGCTGACGAGGAGAGGTTAATACCAAGCAAAGATATAGTAGAGGGACCGGCGTGAATGCAGTTCTTACAATATCAAGTCAATACTACTACCACACAAATAATGACATATCAATAATATATTGTACAAGCTTATACAGCAACACATGTTGATTTGCAACACTGTACAGTTTAAATCTAAAGTGCACAGCCTCAATCTGAGGTGACAAAACAGTACTATCAATATAATAAAGGCAACACAATTACAGACACAATTTATTTCCTCTTACTTCATGTCCTCATGATATTACATTGAATCAATACTCCATTTATCTATTTTAGATGAAATTAAAACCACATTGCACTTCTTTTTTTTTCTCTTCAAGTATTTTAGAGACAGCAAAACAACATTGCTTTACAAACAAAAGTTGGCCGTTTAGGCAAAGTTAAAACCAAAACTTTAGTAGGGTTATAAGTAGACAGGCCCGAGCCGCAGAACTCTTACCAACACTTCCAGATGTTGGGGGGAAAGAGGATAAATTTCAGTTTCCATGCCAGAGTCACCTCTAATGTTAAGGACTGATGCAGCACATGAATTCGGCAAGAGCTGTGCCCATGGTTTCTAAAAAGGCTGTGAGGCTCCGCGTGGGCTGTTTTAGGCAGATGTAGCCTTATCTCAATTTTTTCTGCAATTTCAAAAGCCGTTGCAGACAAGGACTGGGAGAAACCTTTGACAAAGCAGTTTGTTACTTAGTCCCCATCCCTGTCACTCAGATTACAGTCACATTTAATTTAGGCCTTGTCTTGCAGACCTGTACATCTGTAAGAAGTGTTTACCCTCTTAATGTAGCTGTGAGGTTTCATGCTATTTCTTTAGTAAGAATTTCAGTCAATTTTAATTTTCAATGTAGTTTTGGACTGCTCATAGCAGAAATGGTTATGAGGTAAGCATTTATTCAGGCATGTGACGTTTTTTTGGATAGGCTTTTTTACCACAGAACACAGAAACCATCCAAATACAACCTTATTTCAGTCTTGGTTAGCACTTTATATTGATTGTGCGTCTGCTAGTTAGGCCAAGAGGGAAACAATTAGGAACAATTGCGTCCTATTGTTGTACCGTAATTGATCTTATTAAGTGGTTTTAAGAGCTGCAGTACTCTTGAGGTTTTTCAGTAATCAACCCTGGAGATGTACAATCCATATGACATGGAGAAATGACTTATTGGTACCTCTTAAGAATGTAGTATGTGGGCTTATATTTTAAAATAAGCAGTAATAAATATTTGAGGCACCTCCATCAAAAGAAAAAGAATCCTAGTTAATTTTCAGCTTCTGTCCTTGCAGTTTTATAACCCATATAAAATAAAAATATATAGTTTACAAAATAGGATTTTTTTAATATATATATCTCTTTCCTTTTGTAAAACTATACCTATTTAAATATATTTGAAATGTTGCTATAGGTAAATTAGAAATTCTGTTCTAATACTACGAAAAAGGCAAAATACTTTCACTTTTAAACATACAGCTTGTATACCCTGCTTCTCACCGCCCCCTCCCACTTCCCCCAATTTGATTTTGTCATAATTTTGGGCAAATTTGGCATCATTCAGTCTGATTGCTTTTAATTTAAAGTCGTTGCTGTGTTAAAATTGGGGATATAATTTTAAGTATCTTCTGTTCTTTCTTATTTGTTTCAATGCAGCTTTTTGTGCAGCTAATTATTAAGGAGGTATTCTAAAACTCAGGAAAGGACTTTAAAGGAGCCATGTTTCTTGATTTTAAACTGTACTCTACTCCAACGCCACGATATAGAAATAGATTTACTTCGGAACAAACTACAAATACATTCGCACAGTTTGTGACAACTTAATTGTCTACTTAGAGGTCCAGGAACAGACTTTCACACCCGATTATTATAAATCTTGTCCCAGGCGTTCTATTTCATCAATCAGGAAATCAATGTCTTGGTGAGTTGCTGCGGGGTTTGAGATGACCATCCGGAAGAAGTTCACTTTGTCTCCCAGGGGCTGATAGCTCACCATGGTCGTTCCATATTCCATCATCCTGGCTTTTATCACTGGTGCCACCTGCAATGTAACAAAAAGCAGGGGATGATGATCATGATTATTATTATTATTACTATCATTACTACAATGATTTTAATTATTTTCATTATTACCATCATCCTTATTATTATTATAACAAAACACAGAGTATGTTTTCTTCTTTTAAAAAGATGAAAAGCTACAAGAAGCAGTTAAAATGAAATTACATCCAATATTGATAAAAAAGTTAACCTCCATTAAGGAATAAATGGCTCATTGAAAAGACATTGGATTTATCCTGTTTCTTTGGCCGGCTCTTAAAATCACTGGGGAATTCTCCCCCCCTACTTTCTCAATATTGCCGACAGCCACACAGTAGCTGTTTTTTGTAGTGCTCAAAACATATTGTGACAATCGTTTTCCATCTTCTTTTTGTACACCAGAGTGCCATGGTATTATCAAGCTATTGTTGCACTTGGTGGGTTTAGCAATTGCAGTCTACAGTAACTTCAGCAAATACACACAGAGTTCAAACAGGTACTCTAGAGACCAGGCAAACCCAGGGAATACCAAACTTGGAGACCAGAGTAAGGTGGTGCCAGCCTAACCTGCAGTAAAATGACCACGGAGGTGTCATTTGCCAGAATATCATGAGGTGACCTTGCCCTGTGCTCTGGGAGACCATTTCAAGGATTGTCTGCCTGCAAGGATTTCACTGTTCACTACATGGTGTCCCGGAGGATGCTGCTTACCTTCATAAGGCGGCTCATTCTTTCTTCGTTGTCTTCCATACTGCGCAAACTGGGAGGTATATACCAGAAGCAGACGTTTGTGTGCTGAGGCTAAACACAGAATAATGGTTTACACTATAAGAAATGCACATAATATCGCAGCTGCAATTAAGTTCATGCCCTTCCCCCCTCTCATACATCATATTGTGACAGCAGTCAATGGTTTTCATTATTGTGGTCCACTGAGAGTCATCATCATTATTAATGCAGAAAAGATAATTTTAGGCAATTTATTCCCAGGCTGTCAGATGCAGAAACACATCATCCAGCTGTGCAAATACATTTATCCCCTACTGAGAGGCATCTAGATTTTGTAGGTGCTGTCCCCTCCAGAGGCTGAAGGGATCGTGTGGCTAAGGCAAGAGTCTATTACAGATAATTTAGAGGTGAGGACTGTGTCACTTACTTTTATTACGTGACAGAATAATATAAAATCTGGTTCTGTAAACAGGAGTCACAGGTGGTACATAAGACAGCCTAAGATTTTCTTACATTTAATGAAATTTATTACTTCTCAGTTTGATTCAGCTAGCTGCCATATTAATATGCATGCATCACAGCCTCTTAACTAGTTTAACTTATATGGGAGCACCAAGTAGAAAAGCATAAAGTAAGAACCGGTTGACATTTTGTGTATTTTTGCAATCTCCCAACAGTTGCCTGCCTTTCTGCGTTCTTCTTTGCTGGATGCTAAATGTGTGAGTTACAGCAACTCCTACTGCTGCCGGTTCCTTTACTCATCATCAGACCCAGTGGACTAAATTCAGTGATGATGTGTGAGGTGCAGAAAATAAATCACATAGTGGCATGTGGTTATGAGCCTGTGATCTCTGTTTGAAGAAACATGGTGACATTTACCCTTGTGCTGCAGAGCACTTAGGCACGCACTACCAGATCAGTACTAGAGAGCAATGTTCTGAGTGACAAAACCTTCCAGGGCAAGTACAGAGAGCAAAAACCACCACAAGTAAGAGGAAAAAAGCTAAAATGAGATCTTTTTTTTCTCTTTTACTGGCAAAACACCGGTTAACAGAGGTCTCTTCCAGGCCTGACTCCAGCCATCACAGCTGGAGAGGGTTGCCCACACAGAGCTGGCCAAACTCGGGACAGTCCGGTGCAGTTCCGAGGTACAGCCACACAACCCAGGCTGCACTACCTTGCCCTGGGCACTGTGCTCCAGCTGAGCACCTGGCACCCAGGGTCCTGTCTCAGCTGGACTCCCTCAACAGAAACAACATGCCTAGAGATATTTGTACCCCCTGCAGTGGTGTCACCTCTGCCACATGAGCCAGCTGGGCTCCCGAGCAACACCAGCCCCTGCCCCGCCGTACTGCACCCCATCGCAGAAGGGACTGCAGTGCAGACGGCCTCCCCGAGGCACCCCAGGTCGCCTGTGACTGCCCACCTGAGGATGCTGATAAAAGTGCTTTGCACAACTGTCCTTTCAGAGTTGTGTGGGGCACTGTAACCCCCCACTCGTAACAGACCCTGCTATTAGGAAACCACAACTTGTTTTTATTACTTAAAAGAGCTGGTTCTAATTGTGTGTGTGCTGTGTTAGCCTGAGATGCCAGTGTTTAGCTGGCAGCGGGGTGAAACTGTGAAACTGTGCAAACTGAAATCTTACGCACAGCTGCCTCATCTCCCTTGTCCCTGAACCCCATCAGGAAGCGAGATATTGGCACAACAGGTTTCGTTACAAGGGATGCTGCTTTCTGTCACGTGCTGTTTGGTTTGACCTGTTGGTAGCATCCCAATAGGTGACTAAGGCAAGTGCTGTTGACCAACTGGGAAAAAGAAGTTGCAATACATACCTTTCCATCAAACACCATTTCATACCCTTCTCTGTTCTTTATTTTATTGTATAGGTATTCTGCAAGTTCCAAGCACTTATCAATTTGTGCTTCAAATCCTGTGGTTCCCTTTAGAGACAGAGGCAGAAAAAAAGTTACGTGACTATCTGTTCTGTGAACCGAAACAGCGAAAGGACCATGCGGCGCTTGCCAAAGCACCAGCACAAGTCACCTCTCAGGATCTCTGTGGGACAGATTAAGGATCTGATTCTACAAGACAAAGGACACTTTGCCAAGCACAGCTCATTTGCCTTTAGCTCTTGCCACTGACTCCCTTATAGCCACCTCTGCAAAATGAGCACCGGGTACTAGCTCGGTTTTCAGCAAAATATTGCTAACACCTCCGATGAAGGGTGCCCTCGTTGGTAGATTTTGCAGAGGCTAGGCATGGTTTCAGACAGCCTGGGCTGGCACAGAGGAGGGTCTCTAGAAGGTGTTGAGTTCCAGACATGGGGAGTCTCCCGCTATTTTCAAAATAGGGGATTTTAATCTTCCAGAGGTGAGGTGCTGGGGGCTTTTCCAAGAATACTTTTTTCTTTTTTAGTTAAACACAGAATGGGCAGATATGCTTTTAGAGTCCAGCCTGATGCCCGTGAAAATGCTCATTTTGTTTAGATACTGCCCTGCCTCTGTAGTGTTTTTCTCTCTTCTTTTCTAATTGACACCATATAAACTCAGAAGCTGTGTTTTTAAGAGCTGCAGCAAATCCTGCTTTTTCTTCTCTGGCAGAAGTCATAATCCTCTCTCTGTGACATCATAATTGTTCTTGCAATCACCAGCTGTGATGCCACAAACAAAGCATCCAGCTTTATGAGGGAGGAAGGGGAATAAACAGCTGGAATAGATAAACTGTTTAAGAAACACACATCCTATTTTGTAAGGTTAATATTACAAGCGGAGTGTGAGAAGAGAAAAAGCAGTACAAGGCATATTGAAAAAATGGAGTTTAGAAGAAGAAATGTCTCTGAGTAATGGATGCATATCCCTGCTAAATCTGTTCTGGCAGTGCAGAACTGACTTAAAAGCCCCTGTCATTATCCCTCTGTGTATAGAGATTTCAAAACAGGGTAGAGCTAGCACAGCCCCGGGAGAAAGGCTTGGAGTTAAAAGAGAGACATGTGGCTAAAATTGCCTGCCACTCTGGAGACCCCAGTTAGCACAACAGCTATTGTGACCACAGAAACTTGCATCCTCCTTTACAGACTCCCACACCTCCAGCTACATTTGATGTCTGTCTCAAAATTGTTTTCAGAGTTTTAATGAAGCACATGAGGATCTTTAAGGCTTTCTGGAAATGAAAACAGTGATGTCATCTCCTCTGAACAAACCTGAGGCAACTTGACATAATGGATTGGATAAATATATGGAAGAACTTATCTAGCAACATTCTACAAATACAGATGAATTAATCATTGGAGCTGGTGTTTTCAGATTTCCCAGAGAACAGATTTTGATGAGTCTTCCTCTACTCCTTCGAAAGATGACTTCGTATCTACTGCATGTAATGAAACCAGGTATTCCAGTCCTGATTTGCCACGTTTAATTTCTGAATGTCATTAAAACATCTTTTTATTTCCAGAAATCTTCCTAACAACATTCTTAGGTGTATGATTTATGCTGTTAGACTCCTACGGTTACACAAAGCAAATGCTATGCAAAGCCATGGAGTTCAAATTTCAAAATTATGTGTGCTGCTTTGAAGCTAAATTGTTAAAAGTATAAAACCCCAGAAAATAATAATGTTCTTTCTTTCATGTTATATATGGGAAATTCAGGTCAGATATTCTCTAAAATTATGATTACAGAAAAAAACCCTGTATCTGGTGTGTGTTATTTTAATGCAAACAAATATATTGCAGGCAGTCCTACCTTTGCCCTCCACATCAGCCATAGCTTGAAGACATCAACATGCCGTCCACATTGCAAAGCCTTGTCTCCCGTGTCATAAGACAGGTCGTAGTGCTTGTCTTGTTGAAAGAGGTAGGAAGCATGCATTTGATTGCAACTCTGCATCAATCCCTTATAGAAACAAAGACACAAAAAAGTGATGTCAGCACAGATGTGACTACTATTTTGAGGACTGCTTTGGGCAAAAATTCAGTGGAATACATGTCCAAGTGCAAAAGGAAGATCGAAAAAAAGGACAAAACCGGACTTAGTTGCTCAGTGGACTGTCTTTCATACTCCATTCAGTGCCCAGGACACCTTGGTACCTCACCCAGCAATGTGTAATCCACTCCCAGAGCCAAGGCATTTTTTAAGAAAAGCTGGACATTGTGCTTCCTAGAATCATTATGCACAAATTCATTTTTGGATCTCACTTTTTATTCCTTGTTCTGGTTCCTTTTCCTCCTTTTCTTGGAAGGCTTTTTTTCTGGTTGAGTCAGACCAAGCCAATTTGATGACTAATCCAAATAATATCACACCACTTTTCTAATTGCTCTGGTGTCTCAAATTCTGATTTTCATTGTTTTCTTTCTTTGTAGGCACAGTTCTTTTCTGCAAAGCCCTCAGCTGCAGATTGGATGCTTAAGTGGTATAGAAAGCTTTGAACAGACAGAAGAGCATATGGCCTTTAAACAGCCAGCTAGGGCTATTTCTGGGTTGCAAGATACCATTTTGAGACGCAGCTTTGTGGGAGGGCCAGAAGCAAACAAGGTGAAGAAACCTGGCTCATCAAAGCATGAGATTTCCTTTTTAGATTTTTAAGTGAAACGCAGAGAATCATGTTCTGGCTCTAGTTAAGTCCTCAACAAAGTTGAAGGTATACCTTAGGGCTGTTGCCTAAAACTGCAATTTCCAGTCCAAGAAGAATCAAAACTTGGCTGTTTACCATCAAATCTAATCTTTACATGTAACTCAAAACCAAGATAGTAAAATGAGAGGGAAAAGAAATTGGCTTTCTCCTAATCTGAGCCACCTGTTCTCACCAGAGGTCAAGGATGGTACTGACTTCAACCAGGCAGGATTTGTCTTGGGGAACTGACCCAGAGGGCAAATAAAAGCCAGCTTTTCTCTTCCTAAGTGCAACCACTTTGTATACAATCTGTTGTACAGCTGCTAGCAAAAGAGCAACCAGCTTTTTGATAGCTGGTCTAGTAAGTGGTGGTTGTATAGCAGCTGTCCCAGTAACTGACGGTTATATGAAAATTACAGGCTTGAAGGGTAATTCAAATTCTAGTACTAAATGAAACGTCTACTTTTTATTCCAAGTGAACTTAGTCTTCCTTTTTTATTTCCATGTGCCCCAAAGTGGATATATGGATCAGAGCTGGGCTGAAATATCTATCATAAAAGTTTAGAAAGTGTAATGATGTCTGGATTCTGGACCAAATGACATGCTGCATGTATACCACACCATTCATCCTAAGAGGACTAGAGTTTGCCTACAGTTACATTTCATCCTACACAGAAACTAGTGGGGTTACACAGCTCTGCACCCACAAATTAGCTATGGACATTTTGAATGGAAAGCCACAAAACTCTGTAGAGACATTGCCATTATTTGGATCTATCATTTCTGCTAGACAGCTGCTTTAATTCCTTTTGCAGTCACAGCCTAAGCACATAACTAGAGGTCTACTCAGTTTCTTTTATAATCCTCACCACACTAGCAAATATTAGCTATGACACAGTTATGAAGAAAACATCCAGTATTTTCAGAAGCAAAATGTCAGAAAAGATCAGAGAAGTAAGTATAATGGGACGTACCTCTTCTCTTACTAGCAGGGCTGAACACTGCAGTGGGACACCCATCATCTTGTGAGGGTTCCAGGTCACCGAATTGGCCCTGGGACAGCAAACCACATGAAACTCAGACATTGTACTATGGTGGTGAAACCATGGAGACATTTAGTAATAGTAAGAATAATAATGAACATGTAGTAATGTGCACGTTTTTCTTTTTCTGAGCAAGCAAAGCTGAAAATAATCATGGCAGATATTAGGAAAGTAATGCCTTCATAAGGGACATAATCCACTCTGGTTGGTTTTTGGATGACAATTCTGGCAGCTTACCAGAGGATAATTGCTCTATCCACTAAACTTAATCAGTATTAAACTTTCTGGGGAGTCATCTATACTTCATAAACATAGGGCAAACTTCCTAAAAGCACCCGCCTGACTGATGAACTTTCTGAAGTCGCACAGCGGATTAAAGATGCAGATAGGAAGCTGGCAAACTAGCATATTCCCTTCCATTGATTCCAGTCAGTAAGATTTTACTAAGTAGCTCACATAGGTATTTTTGAAAATTCCTTTGAATACTTCTGGGTACCTCTAAGTCTCTGAGTAACTTGGAAAACCTGGCCCAAAGTAATTTTTCTCATTGCTCTGCTGATGGTAAAGTCTCATAGCTCCTTAATTTTAGCTTGACTATGATAATGCACACAACTGAAGGACTGGGTCCAAAATTACCATAGTAATAAACATAGAACTGATCCACCCTTCCACAAAAGAGCCTGATCCTGCCTCCCTTGAGGACACATTCACTGCAAAAACAACTGTCAGCCCAGATCTTGTGAACAAACAGGGTCCTGTCACAATACAGCTTAGAGAAGAGACATTTGGGACTGTGGCAAGGGCTGAATGGAAGATTGTCCAGTTGTTTATTATTTTTGTGTTATGCTTGACTGGCGATTTGTTAATTACTATTATTACATACGATGATTAGCTGATAGATGTATACATTTGCATCCTATTTGGCAGGCTATCAAGGATGCATAGTGCACAGGATTTTATGTAGTGCAGAGATTTGAGTTTTGATGGTATAAATCAGTCAACTGGGGCATGTAAAAACTTAAAGGATCCAGGACACACTTGCCGGTAACATTTATGTGAACAGAGGTGAGCATGTTGGAATCTGGCAGTATTTTCCTTTGTAGGATTTGGAGACAGCGCTACAGGTTTATGCATGTCCTTATCATTTCCTGCCAAATTGCTTTCATTCCTTCAAAGCAAGCAACTCCAAAATTCACACAGACACCGGGCAGCACTTCTGTGCTTTCTTCTTTGCTATTTAAATGGGACTGCGCAAGTGTCTGATGCAAAATCTGCAGGGAACAGTCTTCCACAGGCAGCATCTGGCCACTTGGCTTGGCTTTTCGACTATTTGGCAGCTTTTAATCAGCTTAGAGTCAGTCATCTGATTGCAACACCAAAGGTAATGATTCTGAACATGCATTCAGGTCTATGCAATTCCTTTGGTATGATACTTTTAAATTTTTATCTGTGCCTATGCAGAATCAGGCAGAAATTCTTTTTTTTTAAAGACTTCTAGGTAATAGTAGCGGTACGGGTTTTCTCAAGTAAAAGGATTATTTACTGACAACAGCCAGATGATAATTATCTGCCTAAAACATTTAATTTACCCTAAGGTAATTTATTTCCCCAATTGCACACAGGAAAAAATTAATTATGTAAAATAAAAATCCACCATTTTTCATTTGTTATCAGTTATTCTGGGCTTCAGCCATCAGTATGTGCTTGAAGAAACTGCTGACTGAGACAAACAGTGAAGGAAAAAAGCTACATGGATCCACAGATGTTTTTTTAAAGCATGTAACGTTCGCCCAAGTACCTGAGCACCAAGCACCTATAGGATTTTTTGGCTGTGGGTCACAGACAGAAAAAAAAAGAGGAAAAGTTTTCCTTTAGAGATTTCAAATGGATGACAGGAGAGATTCAAGACTGGCAGAATTTGGTCCTCAGCTATCACTAAAAACAGACTGAGGTGCATTCAGTGACCAACCGCAGCCCCGGGAAGCATGCCCAGACCCTGTATGGGAGCACTCATTCAGCTGCAAACATGCTTTTCTCATGGAGCTGTCACCCCCTGCCCGAGCCTCTGGGAGAGGGACACCAGACCCAAACTCCTGATGGTGGCCAGACCAATCTGCTCCAGACACCAGGCGAAACGCTTCCTTCAGGGTGCCTTGAAGCAGCTTGAAATCTGGCTTGTGGGGACTGGAGGGCACCGTAAGGATGGTCCTGCAACTCCTCCTGCCTTTGACAGGAGTATTTTTGCTGGACTCTCTGTTACCAAGAAGGATGGGAGTACTCAGAGCACAGAGTGCTCCATTTAATGCTCCCTCCTTGTCCCTTTCTCCCTTATCAAACATGAGTAACAGCTCCAGTTCTCTTCTATCCAGACCTGTAATGACTGGGTTGTACTCTAGTATCTACCATGAAACAGGAATGTCCATAGAAGTTGTGTCTAGTGAGTCTCCTCTAAAGGTATCCACGTTTGAAATCTGGACAAACTAAAATGAGCCACTGTGTCCATCAAGCAGGGGAACAGCACTGGAAATGACAAATTTCATTAATTCATTGCCAAACATATGGAGATGTTGCTTATCAAAGCACTAGATAAAATCCAGTGGAGTTCTGGATCTAAAGCAAGTTATTTGGAAAATTCTCCAATATAGATTCAACCTGAACTTCTCATTCCAGCAGAATTTGGACAGCAATTTGGGAGGCAAATTCTTTTTTTCATACTCTGTCCTCACAGGCAACAAGGTAGATTTTTCTAACTTGCTGGATATTTGGATGTATATCCTTTTAATGCACAATATGTAAGTTTGGAGTGCTGGAGGCAGTCTTAACTTAACTAAATCAAATTCATAGAACCATTGACTGCTTTCCAAATCTTGCATGTGAGATGGATGAGAACGGAACTGAATCATGAAGGTATCCTCCTAATCTTCAGGAACAGGATGAGGAGGTTGTTTGTAATTTTAATTGGCAAGGAACAGCAATTCGATTTAGAGATAAAAAAGGCAGAATGGAGTAATAATTTACTCTTGAACAGCATGAGCTTCAGAAAATACACAAATGTGAGAGTGACTCCATCTAGCCCAGTATACTCTCTATAGCAAGTGGCCTATATAGGTGCCCGGGAAGAATACAAAACAGGGCAAGCATATACGACCTTCCTCCAAATATTCTATGAGTCCCCAGTCATCTGTGGCTCACAGAAGTCCCGAATGGTTGTTACTGGTCTTCCCTTGAACGCAGATAAACCTTAACATCCTATAGCAAGGAGTTCCACAGCTCAGCTGAAAGTTTCTGAATATGCAGCTGTTTGTTAGTTTAAGTTCAGTCTTCCCAGACTCTGAACTGGAATGGCATCACTTATGTTCATCTGTGTGTATGCGCAATATTCATGAGCTCATGACTACAACTGTGTATATCCAGGCACAGATTTACTGAGATGATGTCATTAAAACAGCCTGGAGGGGGATATTCTCTCCAGAAGTGACAGAGCAGTGGTCAGTGACTGCCAGGACACCTCTCCAAACTGCAGGTGCATCCACCTTTTATACTTAGACTTCAGCATGCAAGACCTCCAAGATTCATTTCTTAGAGGAATGCAATTGCTAATTCATGTTGAACACTGCATCAGTGGATGCTGCAGAAACCACTCTGGAGCTGCAAATATATGTTGGAAGGAATGAAAATGCAAAGAAGAAATGTCTGCTGTTTGTACTACCAAAGTGCCACATTACTGCAGCATTGAACAAAGGCACTTAGCAATGCTACTTCAACTGGAAGGACAGTTTGCATAATTTCTTCATACTGTATCTTGGAGATAACATAGATTTTTTTTTTATTTATAGACATTGCTATGGTAATCACAAGTGTGTTAAAATGTATTTAATAAATGTGTTTAATTAATGTTAATAAATCATACCTTTCAACACCATTCAACTTCCATTTGTGTTTTCTTGACATCAAGAGCCCGCCACCCCATGCTCCCTAGAAAGCAAGACACATTATCTTAATGAGAAGAGAACTCTGCGCTTCCCCATGATGACATCTGTGCATTCACATCAGTTTGGGGCCCTTTCCTTCTTCTTGCTGATGTGGCATGTTCCAAAATGGCCAGAGGGGGCCTGAGGCATTAGCTGTACTAACAATTTTCTTCCAGTAGCTTGGGAGCTGTAGTTTATAGCCCATAATCTGAGTGCCAACCTTAGCGTCTGCTAACCTCTCCCTCGCCACCTCGTCTGACACTGACATATCGGGCTGCCCCACACCGGAATTAGTGACCTGCAGAGCTGCTCCTGGGTACGCTGTCTTTTCTCTTTTAGTGACTAAGTGATGATAACAAACGAGACTGGGATCTCAGCTGCTCTGGTGAGTTTTCATCATATCTCAGATCACTACTGCTTGCTCCCTACTCATTTGCTTTCGCTCACGGAGATTTGGGACAAGCAGGCGATTCATGTGACCGAGAAGTAGTTTAAGGTAAACATGAATTCTTCTTTGAATTGGAGTGATTTTGGCTGACACAGTAATCCAAAAGCAAGATACCCAGCACTACAGAAATTCAACTACCAAGCATTTTTGGAGAAAGGATTTGCAAAAATGACACAAAAGCCGTCCTAGGGCTGAAAGATGATCCTTCAGAAAGATTTATTGGCAAGAGCCCAGATAAAGCTAAGTAGCCAATCTGATAAATGTCTCTAGCATTTGCATTAACCTGTTCAGCAATTTGCGGTACTTTATTCCAGACAAATGTAGCCTTTTCCTTATGTATTTATTTTGCAGCTGCTGCAGAAGCTGAGCCAGTGCTCAGTATGGTTCTTATGTATTTCTTACACTAATGGCATTTAGAGATAAAAGTGAAGGCCAAAACCACTCAAACTGGGTCATCTTAAGCGTCCCAGTTGCTAAAAGTACTGCACAGTCACAGCTCCCAAAACGTCCCCCTGACCTGAACCTTTCAGAAGAGTGGTAAGTCAGCGCTTGGATGTTAGACTTAATTACAGGAACCAAATACAACAGGTTTTGTACAAGATGACACTGTCCAAAATTAATAAATTAATGTTAATACACCTTGTAATCCAGCCCCCCACATAAGGCGATACTTACATCCACGTGCATCCAGATTTTGTATTTCTTGCAGATGTCTGCAATAGCTATGAGAGGATCAAATGCCCCGTACACTGTTGTCCCAGCTGTGGCACTCACCAGAAAAGGAACAAATCCCTGCAAGAAAGCACAGAGGTATTTGGCAAGGTCAGGGTGCTGCAGCCTCCTCAGCCTGCAGCAGCCCCGACTCCTCCTGTGCTGCCTCCACAGTGAGCCCACAAGTGTCTCCTAGAGGACATCCCTGCTACATTACACTGGTTTTCTCTTAGTTTAGACGCTAGTGATATTATAGTTTCTACCTTAAGGTGGCAGCAAACTTCCAAACCAGCATCCTCCATTTATTAGGATGCATGAGACAGGTAAGGGCTCAGAAGAACAATTCTGCTCCATGCCACCTGTCTCAAACAAAAAGGTCTGCTCTGCATGATGTTGCATAAAACAAACCTCACCCAGGCATCACAGTGCAAGAAATATCTCTGGTGGACTGTGCCCTGGGCTGTATTATAATTATCCCAGTGAGTGTCTGAATGTGTGGTGGCCTACTCCTGTCAGTGGGAGCATCTTGTCTGGGGGTGTCTCTCGGGGGTAATGCCCAGGGGAGGTGTGGGGCTCACCTCCAGCCCCATTTCTCATGCAGAGCTGGGGGACAGCAATCTGCATGGAGGCCACGGACCATCTCTTGGATTCCCTCTGCTAAATGCTGTGCCTCACAGAGGAGCACTCACTGTCCGTCACATGCCATAATTTATACCAGTGTTTCATTTTAAGTTCATTTATAGTTCTGTTGATTTCATAAGCAGTACACAGAGCAAGAAAGGTACAGTGGCCACATTTTTTGCAGAGCTGGGGTTTAAACTATCAAAAAGGTCTAAACTTCCCTCTGCAAAGTGAAATACATGGTCAGTAGGTTTGGGTGGTACTCTACTGCTATGTTGCCTTTCATTTTTATCAACTATATTGCTTTTCTTAGACAAAATAAGCTTTTAATGAAGATTTGTGTTATTAATGAGCTTTGAATACTGGGTTTCTAATGATTATTTACATAAATGTTGTTGAAGGCACAGGGCTAAGTTCATTCCATACTTTAATCTGTTGTTTTAATTCTTGCTTCTATTAACGAACACATACAAAAGTAGTGCCTTTTTAGAGATGTGTAGATTTTAGTTTATTTTCCATTATTTTAATGACTATGAGGAATACTTTCAACACATTAAAACATATACAAATTACCCAAATGATTGCCCTGGTTTTGCCAATATTCAGCTGAGGAACTGCATCATAGGCTGATAATACAAAAAAGGAGGATGTCATACAGAGGAACACATAAAAAAAGCCAAATAGCTCATGGAGATTATAAAGTAGCTCTAAACCTATTTTCTCAGCAATTCTTGCCTCACTAATTGCCAGGCTGCATTTCTAAGAAATAAATCAAAAGTTAGTGGGCAAGCCTATGTTGTTTTACCAAGGAAAGCAAAACAACTAGCTGTATCATTCTTGGGTTTTTTTTTTCTTTTTTGGAAGCAGAAAAGCTAGTAAACTTACTTTTTGTTTGGCTTCAAGAATTCTTCTTTCAAGGTCTGATGGGATCATTTTCCCTCTGGAGCAAGAGAGAGTTATATTAGAAATTTGATCTTGAAATCATCTCTTGCTGTTACTTCTTCACTTAATAGGAAACCCAAATAAGGAACAAAGTGACCTTTTTTGCCCAAGGCTTATGCAGCATTGAAGAGCACAGAAAGACTCTGACCGCTAGTCTGAGTTTTTACCCTAATTGTTTTGTCAACCAGTTTGCATCAATATGGTGATGGTAACTGAGAAGTTATCTCATGGCCACTCTCATCAGAGACTGATGCTGCTCCATGGAGCCTCCTGGTCCTGTTTGACGTTACAGCCCTGGGAACGTGCTCCAGGCTCCCAGGGAGAGGCTCAGCCCAGGGTCCCAAGAAGCTTGCTGGGTGCCAAACCCCACGGTCCCCTTTCAGCAGGCACAAAAAATGCCAGCTGAGCTGCACGGCCTTGAGCAGCGCAACTCAGCTCTGGTGTAAGCAGTCGTTTCTGCGTTTCCATCCAAAGGATGAACTCATTTCAGGGCGACTATTCCAGTTTGGTGCATTACATGTTTGCATCTGCTTGAAGCAGGGTATGAGAAGAACCTACCAGTCTGGACTCATTAAATGCACTGTCAGGCCCCTTGTATTGACTGTATACTGTATTTGCAACACATTTAGTGTGAACCACTCACATGAGATTCAGGCTCAGCAGTATAAGGCTTGAAGGCTAATTTATGAAATCCTGTAAATGAATTAGGCACAAGGTAAAACAGTGCTGATATTGCATACTGAGGTTAAGTTTTTTCTTTGCTTTAGCCACAATCAAGACTAGCTAACAAGAGTATGCATAACAGCAATACAAACATGACAGCTCCCCACATTACAGGAATAAACTTTTCACTGGATTTAAGTGTTATCCATTTAGATTTTTATGTGTATATGTACTTTGAAGGACTTTTTCAGTTTTTTGTACAGTTGGACACATTTTTTTTCTATCATTAAAGCACTGTTACCTGTTGCTACTTAAAAAACCCTTTACTAAAGCTCAAAATAGCACTTTTAGGGAAACAAATAAAATCATGAGTTTTAGTTTTACTTTTACATAAAAAAAAACTGAAGTGTTTTCGGAACATTTGGATGGATGTAAATTTAAAAAAAAAATTACTAATTTCTTGTAATAAGATACTGCTAGGTTTTGTAAGTTTTCATCCTTACACAGCTCAAAATAAGTCAGTAATTATGTCAGTAGAAATGGGTTTGCACTGCTGAGTTTTTTGCAGTATCTGTCTAAAAATTAGCCCTGATTTTTCTCATAGAAGTTCAAGGTCTAAAGAGTATTCAACTCATTGTGAGTTCCCACCAGTTACATGACATGTTCAGAGAAAAGCAGTAGTTGTTTTATCTTCAAAAACTGTTTCTGGGATCATTAGAGCAATAAAGAAAAAAAAGCATGCCAAAGGAAGGCAATGAGTTCCTCCTCCAAACATAGTTTAGATGCCAGTCTTTAATGGTTTCTAATTTATTGAGCTTGTGCGTACAAACACACAGAGCTGGGCAGAACCCTTCATTACCAAAATTTTTGTACCAAGAAAAGTGATTATCCAGCCCCTGGTCATGTTGAGTATGCTAAGGAGCAAGCAGTAGGTTGGCTTTGGGAGAGGCAGAATAGACTCAGCAGCAAAAGGACACTGAGGATAGCGTAAGTGTTGGTGTCAAAGTCTTCTCATGTTACCCACATCTGTACACAGTCTTCACTGCTGCCACACCATACTAAAGTGTTTTGACCCCAAACCTGCAGGTAATATGCTATTGCTACCAAGATGTCTGCATGGTAGTAAAAGAGGCAACAGAAATATATGGTTGTCCAGTCTGGGGTATGAGCAAGAACATGATTTTCTGCATGTCCTCCTGGCTTGAAATTCACCACACATTTACATAGTCCCATGATACAGCAAAACAAGGCAAATTTGGTGGGTGTGGGTCAGGATGGCGAAGAGAAAAGCCACCAAGAAGTGTGCTTGGTCATGCTGGAAACATCAAAAAGATCTCGTGGTGCTCCTTCACCCTCCCACAGATCTACATAGTCACAGAGGGTCCTCTCCACTGCACAAGCCCACATCCTGTGCAAACAGCCCACTTTGTCCCAGTGGCGTCTGCTGGGATTTGGTGAGACACGCAGTAATCCCGCTGTTTACTTCAGGGTAAGCATTGTAGTCTTCACAGAAAATCATCACGCTGAATTTGCACAAGAAGAAAAGGAAGACACGACTTCATTGATTCATGTCTGTGTTTAGTGAATAGAAACAACTGGAGATTTATTTTGATGTGCGTTGGTTGTGTTGTTGTTGTCATTAATTCCTCTTCAAGGTGTGCTCAGTCTTTTGTTAATAAAGAGATAGTAAGCCCGTAAGTCAATATGCAGGCACTGTGATTAGCACTGTAAATTGCTTATTTGGTGCTCTTCTTTTAATGTGGGAGCAGAGTATTTTGACAGCAGTAAAATCTTCCATTTAGAAGAACCATAAATAATTCAATACTTTATAACAATGATACTTGGGGCTCATAGTAAGAGCATATTCTATTGAAAACATTCTCAGTAGAATCGATAAGGACTGTTCTATTCATTTTTGTCCCATAGAAAGCATGTTTCCCCTAAATGTAAAATCTTCATCACATAGATTTTGTTAATATTCCTTTGCTTTCTCAAAATGTGTTTTCATAGAAAATCAAAACCTTTTAGTTGGGCGAGTTAAACAAAAAGTTATCTACCGCCCGTTTTGTATTGCTGATGGGACCTGTAGGTTAGGTGCCTGCTGTGCTACTCCTTTCCGTGGGCCATCCCCCTCCTTGGCTTATGCTGCCCACAATGCTGCCAAGACCCTTCTCTCCACATCCCATCGCAGGGGTGTCCCCATCAAGGGCACTGGGGGAAATGTAGTCCAGCTGAGGAGGATGGTGAGAGCGTGAAGCAATAGAGTTGCATTAGCAAATACACCTCAGTATTTCACTGCTTTAAAAGGTCCACTTCAGTTCATGTTAATGGATCAAAATGTGAGTGTCTAAATGCTCCATTTTGACCAAAACAAGCTTCTTCCTCATTTCTTAGCAGAACGTGTAAAGAATGATTGTTAGTTGGACTTTTTGTTTCACTTCAGGATGAAAGAAAAAGAAATATCAGAAATCCCCGAGGAAGGGAACTTTTTTTTGATGAGCTCCAAAAACTGACTCTTAAAGAAGCTACTGACAGAGCCAGTTCCTCAAGCGGGATAAATCACTGTAAGGCTGCTAAAGATGATAGCGCTATGACGAGTTATACCAACTGTTGACTGCATCCTGTACGCCCTCTCTGAGCTGAGCACCTGATGATCTTCTTCTATGTACTGATAAAAAGAGCTGTATTTGGCATCTTTACTTACCTTTCATCACATCTAATCAGAATCACACTATCTGTACCAATACCCAAGGCCGCAGCTCCTTTCTTCACAGAAAAGTGACTCTGAAAAAATACATTTATTATTATTTGTTATTTTTATTATTATTTCTTACCCAATTTAATATAAAACACTACACTCTTGCAAGCCCTTCGGCAAGTAGTCCCACACAGGCAGTAATTCTATTCATAGACTTTCTGGAAACGAATCACTGCAATTTGAGGCTTTATATCAGGTCACTACAGTCAATTAGAGAAACAGCAATCACTCTAATCTGGATTTACTCCTGGAATATTAAATACACAACTGTAGCTGATGATGGACCCAAATTCTGTCCTTGATGCATACCTGCAGCTTCTAATGCTTGTACAGATTCAGCTATGAACTTGATTCACTGAAACAAGAAATTCTCCCCTACAGAATTCATTCGTAGCATCCAGAGTGATGTGCTTCTGCTATATAACTTCTGGCCAAATAATATACTGAGAGAAATTAAGATACGAAGCCTAATTGTGATCTCATGCCAGTGAAAGCTAGTAATAACTCCCATTAATAAATAGAGCTACTGCAGTTTAAAATCAGAACTGGGCTATTAGTAAGACTATTAGTTAATCTGTATGTACAGAATAAAAAATGGAAGTTATATACTGGAGTGCAAGTCAGCCTAATTTTCTCTACCTCATATGACTTAACTCCTGAGCCAGTGTTGGTTTGTAATTCTAATTTAAATCCTAGTGATTATGATAATGAAATAGTTTTATATCAAATTACACCACCAAGAATCTGATTTTTATTAACTCAAACACAGCTGTAACAATATTGTTCAAAGTAATTTTAACTACAGATTATTAAACTTTAAAAAAATGGAAATTCTTTGCATATACTACAGTACCATTAGCTCAGGATGTAACACTATAAAAAAGATCAAGGAGATAAAAATCTAAAAGGGTTTTTTAGGTGTCTCAGATGTTAAAGAAGAAAGGAAGACATATAGTCTGTGGGAGCAGAGAAGCAGACTACAAAGCAGAGAAGTAATCACCATTGCTTTGTCAAGCGAGTATCTGGCTTCAACTGTAATGAGAGCAGTAGAGAGCTATAGGGGAAGAGATGGACACGATGGTTACACACGTCTGCTTCACTTAAAGGCCATGAAGTCAGTGGGATTTCACTGCATACTTAAGGGCTCCCTTCACAATGAATACTTTCAGAAATGAAAATCAATTCTAAATCAACTTTATGAAAGAGAGAGGAAGAAGAGTAGAACTGCAACGTGTACCTTCAATTTAGTAAGTAAAAAAGGCCCCTGTGTTTTAAAAATCACTCAGGGGGTAACTATCATTAACAGTCCTGACTACTGTGGTTAAGGTTGCATAAGAGTTTCCACTCCAAACTCCTTTTTTCATATGCCTGTATCTCACTGTTTTGGCTGAAATGCCTCAAGTTTTCATGACGCCCATAGAGTTTTTCAATGTTCAGACATTTTGAAGAAGTTAAGATTGTTCTTGAGCCATGATTCACTGACGATACATGGACAATTTGAAAATACTTCCTCAAGTGAATGATATTTTTCATACCACGTTTTTTTTTTTAATGCAGTGGATTGGTATAGCTTTCCCCTATGCGGCATGGCTGCAGTATACCAACAATGCGTATTGAACAGCCGTTGACCACCTTGTCTAGACCTAAAATCAGTTTTTAAGGCCCTACTACAACAAACCGTCCTAGCCCCTGAATTAAGCACATTCTGAAATGCAAACACATGCATGTCGGACGGACTTCCGCACAAGCTGATGATCAAATCAAATGCATACCCATGCGCTCAGATGAGCAACAAGGGATTTGTGCCTGTGCTTCAGTGTTTTGCTGAATTAGACTCAGTTCATTGCAGCTAGCCTAATCAGGCTTAAGTCATCATGTAGGCTCCCTCTGCAGTCCGGGGGGGAGACGGGCACCTCCAGGGAAGGATTCATCCAGCATGATCTTTGAGAGTGGGTGCCGAATGACATCAGGTGAGGAGATTTCTACCCCTTCCCTATGGACCAAGTCCTGTGATATCTGCTGTCTGTGAGAGCGGAAAGCGTACAGCACCTGCAGGCACCAATGCCCTGGAAACTGGTAGATATTTGATTTTAACACACTGTTATTGTCTAGCCTATTAAAACCATGGGTTAGTGACATGGTCAGATTAGATACGGAGTTTGCCCCACTGTGTTTCTAGCTGCAGTCACAAAGTACTAGGAAGTATTGACACATTGAACATCATGGGCCTGCTCAGCATCACACTGGTATTTTTCATGGCACATTCTTTATCTCATGAAACCAAATTTTTGAACAAACACATTTCCACGAGCTTTATCAGCTTCACTAAAATCAGTGGACTTTTCCCAGTACAAATGCACTGTAGATTAAGGCTTGGGCTGGGACCAATCTACAAACCTCTATACGTGGAAGATACTGAAGTCCCTTCCCAGCTTTGCAGGTCTCCCTGAGCCCCGTGGTGCAGCCATGCAGCTTTATGAGAGCAGGGAGGAGGGGAGGTCATGAGGGGGCTCCTGGCATCAGGAGGCTTATAAAAAATTCCCAAGTTTAGGAAGATATCTTTGAACTTTGCAAAAATTGAAACAGAGCTAGAATATTGCCAGCATAATGTCAGTTCATTGATATACTATGTGAAGCTAGAATTGAATTTATATACTTAACAAAAATTAATCTGTTTTTTATTCATGTATTACACAAACTGATGTGCACATACTGGGTAGTGTAATATATAAATACAGGTAGATATGTAGGAGTGAAGAGTCAGATATATTTCACTGGGTTTTGAGTTAATGACATTACATTGGTGAATTTTACTCCTTATTCCGTACTAGTTAAAATAGATTTACTACTGTAATTTGTTTTTCTAATAGAAAATAGAACTATTCAAAATGCCTTAAAAAAGGAAATACAGATTTGAATGGTTTACTATGAGGAAGAAAATTAAGCGCATGTGCTCAAAGGCATCCGCTGGAATACAGCCAAGCTCAGCTGTCTCATTGAGAAGTCTCGTGGCACTGCTAAAACAGCACTGGGGAAAAAATGCATGTAGTGCTGATAGCTCAGTTGCCTGAAGGTTTTTTACAGACTGAAGGGAATTCAGTGGTCAGGAACCAAAACAGGTTTAGGGATAAATTGGGAAGAAATACAGAAGTCCGTGCACAAAAGGGCAAATGCAATTACAATTTCTAAATAAACTTTGAATATGAAATTGCTCACTCTGTGTATATAGTCACAGATATATGACTACTGTTATGTTTTTGTGTCTCAGGGTAACATCAGAGGAATTACTTCAACTGCCTGAGAGGCTCTAAAAGAGGCAGGATGGAAGTGAAAATGGAAAAAATATAGTTTTAAGAGCAAAGAAAACTTTCCTAATGATGATTAATATTAAATTTTGTTTTAATATTCCTGGGATGGTGCTGAAAATTTGGTTGCCTGTGTAATACAAAGGTAAACATAGAGAAATATAAAGGTCAAACAGAAGGAAAGGCTTGCAGAAATAAGCCTGGTTAGACAGAACTACTGGCCGATTCAGCTGGGCTAATGGGGAAGAAGGACACTAATTGTGACCCCTTTGGGAATACAGGGGCTACAGACTGCTCGGCCACGCAAGGAAGTGAGCATGAACACGACACGGCCATGTAGGAGTTACGCAGATCTGCAGTCTTATGTTGGGAGAACCAGGGTCAAAAAGGGAAGACAGGGGCGGACTGCCTGATGCCAGTCCTGAAGGAAAAACCAGGCTAGGAGAAGCTGGCAGGACCAGAGTTTCACCGCTGCCCTGTGCTTGCCAGAGACAGGAGGACACGCAGGTGGGTCTGGGCTGTCACTGCGGCTTTCACCCTCCCTCCCCCCATGCAGTGCTGCACTGCAAAAGGGTGCGTGGAAGACTACAAACACATCCCCAACAGAGAGGAACCTCAATTTGTGTCTGAAAAGAAATGTGGTTAAAATTCAATGGTGAAGGAGAAGGCATAGAGTCAATATTAGTGACAAAAGCATATTATTAGTCAGGAAAAAACAATGGTGACCTTGAGCCAGGGAAATCTTCCCTTTGTCTAAAATTTCAAACGTGGTTAGGAATAAGTTTGTTTGCCTGATAGCCATTTTTCCATAGTTAGCTTTGTAAAGTAAAAACACATTGTAAATTTATTACAGGTGCAATAATGAATAGGCCTTCTGGAAAAAGGAATAATTAGAATAATTAAAAATGTTATGATGCTGAAAAGTATGGCATTGTTATCTTAAATGAACAGTGCTTCAATAATCTATTTTTATAGCTTGCTAAATGAATTGCTCATAATCTGGCATGGCTGAAGCTGTCAGGAAGAACCACCCTAATGCTGTGAGCCCCAAAGGTCACAGCTGGTTTTTGAGATTGCAGTTTCTCCCTGCTCACATAAATCCAGAATGGTACAAGCTTTGTGGAGTGAGTTCCCAGATGCTGAGCAAGCCGAGCCATCCAGCAGCTGAAACCTCTCCGTGGTCTGCAAGTTTGGTCGCTGGCACCCCAGTGCTCTGCAGACCTGGACCCCCAGCCTCACCCCATCAGCCACTCGCCAGCAAAGGAGGCGCACACGCTTTCCTCTCCTTCTCCCCCGGGCTTTAAACAATGGGGGATCCCTGGATGTGTAGGCTGGGCTACTTCTCTCTTAATTTTAATCATCTAAAAATGTGTGTCTGGTCTAGGCTTGCTGTCCGGGCTCCCTTAATAGAAGAAAAGGTACCTCCAGAAGGCACCTTATCCCTAAGGCTTTGGCACCCACTTTAGACTAGGATGAGTTGTCTTCTGCAGATCTCGCTCTCTTTTTATTGGCTATAAAAAGTGCAGATTAAATGTTTACACTTCAGGTGATTAAAGTTAAGTGACATGAATCCTATCTTTAACGTCTCATTGTAAGCTATAGCTTTTCCTTCAGTTATCTACAAAAAGAGTATACTGTGTCCCATCACATTTTTAAATACACTGTAATGTTATATATGTTTGCTATTGTTTCCCTTAGCTACTGTTATTCAATTTTTAAAGTTATTTGTTAATGTCAGGGGAGAAATGAATATATTAATGTTTCTGCACAACATACTAATATTTCCATCTTTTGCATTTTTGAAATATAAAACCTCATACTGCTTTTCTAATCCAGCAAGACTCACAACTTGATTTTTTCCAGTGCAGATAGTTTTACAGCATTATCTCTGGATAAGAAACGTTGTACTGAGTTCAGGAGGATCCTGTGGCAGTGTAAAAGTCACGAGATATTGACCAGATGAAGGATTAGACCCAAATGATGAATGTCTCCTTTGGGACAGACTGCCCTAGAGCACTGCTTTTCTGGAAAATGGTTTTGCTTTGATTTGAATGGAGTTACTTGAATTAAGTTGCTCCTCAAATAAGACCAACTTTTTCACTGTTTCCCTCTGGCTTCAAATACCGCCAAGCAATACTTTTCTAGTTATTATGCATTAGGTAACGCAAAGAAAGAATGTGTGAATCCATGAGTTTGATTTTTAGTTTCCTTAGGTGGAAACAAAAACTCTCCCTACTTACTCTGTATGCTCAGAAGTATAACTTACGGCTTCATAATTTATGCCACCAAATGGAAAGCACACTCTCCAGGCTCCTCAAATCTTTCCCTGGAAGCCTCACCACACAGGTCACCCCTTGGACAGCTTCTTGCAGGTGCCAGTCCTGGAAACTGCCTCCTAAGTAGCCTGGCTAGAGGGCAATGTTACGTGCCACAAAGTGGTGGGACTAGAGATCGGCTTTTCATTCTGCACAGAAACCAAACCAAAATCTTCCACAGGCTGTGTGAAATGGAGGTCTGTCGAGCTGTCTGCTTTGAGACAGAAGTCACTTTTTAATTTCCTTCTGTCTCAGAGCCAAGAACCTCCATTTTAGATTTCAGAAACTGTTCAGATAAAAACTTTGCCAAAGCCACTCTTCTCCTACAGTTACTGGTGTCGTTTGCTGTATTCCCTGCACATAATAGGGCTTGACCACACAGGGAAATCAGCGTGCAAGAAGCTGAAGCAGTGATTTATTGCAAACTGCCTCCTCTGATCTAGTTGACGTGTGGATGCTGCGCGCGCTATGGCTGTGAGGGTGCTCCCCTACCACTGCAGACAAGCCACCTCTCACAGGTGCTCCCAGTGCTCCTCCAGAGAACGAGGTCCCTCTGAGTACGTCCGGCTGTCTACAACGCTGACACCTTATACCTGAGCTGCCAACAGACCCTCCCTTCACAGTCAGCGCCTGCCGGAGCCATACTCCCAGTGAAGCCTCGGGCAGGAGCCGTTCCACCCCGAGAGCAGTGCAGTTGGGGGGATGCCAGAGGCAGAGACACCCTCTCTGTGCTCCCCTGGCTCTCCAACTGGGTGAACTGCCAGATCTTACTCTGTGGTTTCTCTTCCAAAAGGAGTTGTATTGCTATTTCCCTGGTGAGCACCTGACAAGGCGTTCCTCTTTGTGGCAGCCGCTAGAGGGGATGGGAAATTAGGAAATTAGGAAAGCTGATGTGGACTACATGAGCACAGTCTTGCTGGGTTGGAGAAGAGCAGAGGTGAAGAAATCTCTACGTCTTTCCAACTACGTCCAGCTTTTTTTCATTCCCTAAACTGTGGATTGAGTCTGTATAGCCCCCAATTAAACACCAAGTCCATATAAAAGCTCCAAGTCTCTTCAGCTATTTTTATACTATCAAATAAAAAGGCCAAGGACTGATTTGTAACTGAACCCAACTAGTTCTCTACAGCTAAACTTTTTCGCTCTTCAACCCTTTCCTCCTCAGAGTACAATGACTTCATCCTTTTTGCCTGCTAGGGTTGATCCCTGCTCCACGCTATTCCCAGCTACTGCTGAATGCTGTCTAAGAGAGTGCTAGTTGGCCAGGTCAAAATCACAACAGGGAATGGGTTAAAATTCAATAGCACTTGCCTTATAGACAAATGGATCAATGAAAATATTCTGAGAAGGCAGCTCTCCCTTTCTGCTGCTTTCTCCACACTGAAAAAGGGATGCGCTCAGCTGAACACTCACAGCGGCCTAAACCTGATGCACTGGGACGCAGGAGGCGGCCTTCACCTTAGATTTTTCATTGTGTTTGAAACGATAGACTAAAATAGGTTTTTACAACTGGCATCCATCACTTTTACCCCTCTGAGTCAAGGTCTCTCGTGTCACGTGTAGTCCAGGACAGCTGCCCTGAAGGACATCACTCTGCTCCTGCACCAGTGCAGATTAAAGAACCACTGATGATGCACTGGTGAATACAGAGGATTGAATTAAGTCCTGAGCAAGCACATCTCAGTGAAATTATACCTGGGCCAAGACAGACCAAAGCAGTTACAGTGTACTTCACCATCACTGGTGAAACAGAAATAAACAGGAGCAGGGTGAGAGCTAAGTTACGGTCCTACTGAACAGCTCGGGGAAGATCTGCTTCCTGGGAACATGCACGGTTGGAATAACCTATTTTAGGCACCTAATGTAGGTTGCATATGCCAGGAGGCTGATCTCTGTGTATGGTCAATGCACAGAAGTAGGTGAACCCTCCCAAAGGCGATTTAGAACATCTAAATTAAGGAATATTTGGGTTCCTAATTTGGATGCTCTGAGTTTCCCTCCAGAGGTGCCTCTCTCCACTGATTGTGCAGAGAGTGAGGTTCCTAATTTAGAAACATGATGCACTCCTAAATTAGGAAGGGAATTACTTAGGAGCTGTGAATTACTCCTTCCTTCCCTTCTCCCCCACCAGCAGCTGAACTTATCATGGCATCAAATTGAGGCCAGATTCTGATTACAGTAATATTGGCAGCAATGGTGGTGTAACTTCATTCGTTTATAGTAATGGAAGCTCTGGATTGGTAGAAATGAAAATGGAGTCCAGTCTGTGATGCTGATATTCTTGCCTAAGAACTGCTGATATTGGAATCTTTACTTCTGTCTGAAAATTTCGAGAAAAAAATCTCAATGTTTCTAAAAACATAAAGTAACTTTATGCTTTGTTTACTATCATGCCACACGTGCAGAGCATGAGGAAATGACAGTATCCTGTTCACAAACCGCTTGTTCCACGGACATTGTCTTACAAGAGCATCCACCTGTGGCAGAGAGAAACCACAAGCAGGCTGGGGAGTCTAAAAGGAAGCAGAAGATCACCATGACATGATAAATGAGACAAATGACACTCTCATATCTTAGTGTCTATTCAGGTTCTGCAGGACATTTCCTATCTAAAAAGGGGATTGTACTGCTGGGCCTCTGCAATTCCTGTAACAGTTTCTGCTATTTTGAGGGTTAAACCCTGATCCCACATCCTTTGGGCAATTAAGGGTTAAATGATCCTGTCTTTACTTAGCATGGTTTCTTAACTTCCATAGAAGATGTGCCATTACATACTTTATAAAAAATCCTGATCGAGGAAGCGACAAAACTGCAATATCAAGATACTTTTAAAATGTAACAGATTTCAGATGCTGTTCTATGGATTCGCTAGTATATTTGATTTTGGAATGTTTAATTTGCTAAGGGAACTGCTTCTTCCCTGGCATGAAAACACAATTATTAAAGCTCATTTCATTATTTTGAGACTGATAGCACAATTTGGTTCATTGTTTAACATTCCATCACTATGAATACAATGAAATTCTCTAATGATTAATAGGATTTGTTATTTTAAATAATCATGCTGAACCTTATTTGCAAGACTTATTAGGTCTGTAACTTCCATATGAATAATGCATCTCTAGCTGTACAGCCAACTTTGGAGAGTTGCTACTCATTTGTAGAATATCCTTCTCTCTGACTGCTTTGGGGATAATTATTCTGCAACGTGGAGCCCACAGTTGTGCATCGCACCTCATCCTACTGCCATGAAAGGCACCCTCAGAGGGATTTCCTCCCAGACATTTCTGATCAGTTTTTAGGACACTCTGCTCTTCACACTCGCACAGAATGGAAACGCGTTGTCTGGTAAGTCACAAAAGGTAGCCAGGAGGATGTTGTCACCTAACATGGACGGCATCTTGCTGAGCCCCAGCCATGAAAGAGTCCTTTCTGGCCAAGCCCACACAGCTGGAGAGAAATTTGGAAGGGGACCATAAAGCCTGAAGAGAGCTCACAGCCCCCCCCGGGTATAACCCTTCCTTTCCCCCTTCCTCCTGCACATGAATTCTCCACTATAAGCTGCAAGGAGGTTTAAATGGCCATAAACCCAAAACAACCCACACAATACAGACAGAAATATGACTTCTACATGGTTGTTCAAAGAGCAAAAAACTCTGCGTTTCTCCCGTCTCAGAGGGCCACTCTGATTTCTCCCGTGCCACCTCCCCTCACCTCTTGCTCTGCCAGATCCCATCGGTGCTGTGATGAGCCCCGGTGTGCTGAAGCTTTTGCTCACAGACAGAAACCCACAGCAAAGCCCAGTTCCCCACCGTACACTGCAGCTGCGCTGCTGCACACACACACAGCATTTCCACACCACTGTCTTCATGTATGTTATCACCCTCTCATTAAATAACAGCGGGAGTGGTTTCAGCTATAAACATTTTGACTCACAGTGATTTTCTGTTCCCCCAGAGCGACCCGAACAAAAGACATTCCTGGCAGAAAGTGCTGAAGCCCAATGATGAGCTCTCATCGTTAGATGTGGTCCTTACCATTCACATCCACATTTATACAGACACAAATGAGAGCAAAAAAATGGCTGTGGTTTGTAGAACCTGCTCTCCCTGGGTTTCAGCCATAGCTAACCGCACAGCTCACCCTTCTATATGTCAAAAAGCCAGCCCCTTCCCATTTTTTAGTGAAGGAATAACAGAAATGAAGACAGTTGGCTACAAATTCCCGTTCAGCTATTTTCTTCATCATAAATTCATACAAGCAAATGTAACAGATAGGAAAAAACAGGAACACATACATGTTCTGATGTGAAGGCAACCAGTCTGGGAATAGCTGCCATTCCTTTTTCTTTAACTTCTGGGAACATCTTGAAACGTGCAATCAACATAGCATACATGTTAGATATGGCACCACCTGGAGTCCACAGTGATATACTGTTACTTTTTCTATGCATTGTAATATTATTGCAGAACAAACGACAACTCTTGCTACAGTTTTTCTAACTCTAATGTTAATGTTTCTGCCTAATGGCAAATTCTTCTTCCTGATGCTCCTCACAGCTGGGTTGTGTAATAACAGGATCTACTACACCCAAATAACAATTTCTGCAAAAAAGTACTGCTGCAGAAAAATGATGGGGGTTTCCTTTCATCTTAATTTTTGTTACCATTTCTCCTTTAGTCCCCAGTCTTATCTTTCCATATGCCATCAAGACATAATCCCCACTCTGATCCACCTCCCAAGCGGATGCCGCCACAAGGCAACCCCCTAAGTGGCTTCCAAGTGCAACCTAAACTGTCCTCTCCCCTCCCAAATTAGGGTGGCGTATCATGCCCCGGCTCTAAGGAAACCCACACAGTGAGTCCCAACAGACACTATCTTCTGGATAACTGGAGCGGAGGGAGGGAAGAGAAAGAAAAAAGGGTCATTCTAACATATATTTTTCTTTTTATTTGTCCTCTGACGGGAGCAAGGGGAAAAGGTTACATGTCCCTAACACCAGCCTTAAAATCAGTGGCATACATTGACGTAAAATACCCATTTCAAGATGGGTATTTTACCCACTTCAAGATGGGCATCAGATGACAGCTCTACAGTATGCTGTTCCCATATTTCAATTATCAATGCATAAATTAAAAATGAGCACTTCGTTTTTCCTTTTCGAGATTTTTACAAACTAAGCCTCTCTGTCTACAGTGGAACAATGTTTGGTTATACATTAGTGCTGCATGAGCACTATGGGAATATAATGCAGAACCTGAGGCAGCGTCTGAGTACTTTTACATATATACACACAAAAACACACACACACAGAGACATTTATACATAAAATCTATCAGTTTTATCCTGTATATATACTATATATATACAGATTGATTACATATTGATGTTTATGCACATATATTTATATAAAGCAAAGGTGTATATTGATCATGGTTTTAGGCTTTTAAATGGTCAGAGTGCAGCTGAGGTAGAGTTCAACTAACCCAACTTCCATCCATCTAAAAATGGAGTGAAGAGCACAAGACAGGCACTTCCAGAAGATGGTTCAGTTCATCCTAAGGTAACTGCTTGTGGTAGGTGGGATGACTTGCCCTGCAAATGCATCCACCCCTCTCCCTTGAATATATGGGAGCTGCTGTAACTAGCCCAGGGGAGACACCCAATGCTTGGACAGCCAAAGTGAGATAAGATAAAATCCACCCTTTAAGCAGAAGAAGGTAGCTCTGCTGAAAGCAGCGACGTTACACCACGTTACACCAGCAGGATATATGTGCTGGCAAATTTAACATTGTTTTGACTTTTGTAAGATTTGTATTTATCCCACTGGAGATATATATACTGTTCCACAGCCCACAGAAACTGTGCCCTTCATTTCTAATCAGTGTCCCAGCTCTGCTCTTGCAGTGAGGCTGCCTCTGCTCTGGGCTTTCCCTGGTCCTCCTGTGAATCCAAGGGAAATGCCACAGAGGGATGGCTTCGCTGGCATGGGGGTCAGTAGAGATCGGGCTTTTCCTTCCCCTTTCAACTATCTTGAGAGGTATGAACATATTTCTACACCTCTTTTCACAACGGACAAAACAAGAAATGGAGAGATTAAGAGGAAATGCTCGGGTACCTGTCCCTGAAAAATGCAGATGTCATGTAACAGCTGCTGTTGATGATTTAGGTGACTGAACTAAGGTGACCAAGTTGAAGAAATTTGGCCTATCTTGTCCAAAGACATTGGCTCAGCGTCAAAAGAATCAAGACTGAAACATTAAGTTTCTTGAATACCAGGCTTGCCTATTTGTATTTATTACCTAGCCATTTAACCTTAAGTTTATTAATAAGCCCGCATTCTGCCTTTAATTTTGCAGCTGTGTTTACACCCACAGTTAATTGCAGGCAACAAAACACACCTACAGAATTTGGAGAACCTAATCAGGCCTTTATGCTTTGCATGTATTGATAGTGTATATTTCATTCCAGAGAATGCAGAGAACAAGAACCTTTTCTTCACAACAGTAAGGTCTTCAGCCGAAGCCGTGACGGTTTGAAACGAGAAGACAGCATAGAGATGATTTTGATTATGGCCTAAAAAAGCAGAACCTGCACACTGGGTATTGCTGCCTTAAGAGACTGAATTATCAAGATGCACTTTACACAAACCAGAAATTGCACATAAAGAAAGGATGAGAGGGGGCAGCACTGCGAACGGCCAGCACGGGTACACGCCTGCCAGAGAGCCTGTCCCCACGCAGGTTTCAGCGAGATGAAGTGAGCTCCAGCATCACCTGACACACCAGCAACACCCTGGCCCCCCAGGTCAGGCAGGGACCTCTCACTGACCCCGGAGGGACAGCAGTTCCTCCCGAGGCATTCATCTTTCCTGACTCACACTATCTATCTCGAGCACAGTTTGCCAGACCGGGGCAGACCTGGCGCATGCATTGAGCCTTTCACCCCCACCTGCCGCCCGTGCCCAGCCTCTGCCCACCACATCTGCTGAGCAGCGTCGCTACTGCCCTTCTCTCCCCGCTTAGGTCCCTGGCCAGCCCGGCAGGGCTGTTGCGGCTCAAGCCTGCAAGGTGAGGAACTGAAGACTAGATGTATTGAGTCAGGCCAGGGACTGGACAGTAACCAACCACTGCCAAGTTTCCCAAAATTTGGCTTAGGTCCTGGGCTCGTGATACATGTTTAGATGCTGCTCTGTGTGATGGAGGCCACGGTTTTGGTCAGGACCTCTAAGCACTACAGTAAAAGCTGTCAGAGCTTTTGTTCTCAGTGCTGTTTAAATAAGGACTCAACAAGAAGTAATGTAAATTCTTCTCATCTTTTTCTCCACCTCTGTGGAAAGGCCCAGGACAAAACTCCTGCACCACTTCCCACCACTTCTCCAGATGTGAGAAGTTGAAGACGAGCCTTGCCTGATCTTCTGCACAGCATGAACTTTACCATTCATGCCCTCAGAGAGCTGAACATACTAGGCTGTTATCACTGAGGTCCTTCCTTTGCTCGATAGTCCAAACACTCTTTACCTGTCCATTAGATCAATGAACTTTCTTTCCAGAAGGGCTCCTTACCCACCAGCTATCAGTCTGTTCTCTTTTGACAAGCCAAGATGCTATGCCCAATGTAAATTCCGTCAATTTTTTGCAATTTGGTGAGATAGATAGGCCAAAATTTTTAGCAATGAAATTTCAGAGTAAGATAGGAGGTGACAAAGAGTATAAATCAAAAAACTAAGTGGAATGATTAAAAAAAAAAGTCTTAACAATGTAGTGTTTGTCAGAATCAATGATTTCTCTACAGTTAATCACACTCATTTTTTGCCTTATTGACTTGCCCCGAAGGAACCAGGTTTCTGAGCACTCAGATTAACTAGCCACCCAAGTACCCCCACTGAGCTTAACAGGCCAGCTCACGCATGGAAAGCTAATTGCATACTGTCATATTGGCAGAATCTTACTGACTCCACTAAAATTACTTAAAGGGGGGATGCTACATCTTTCCCTCTTTGCTCCAATTTCCCCTGCAGTGATGGAGAGCACTGTTGTGTTTCTTCCCTCCATTATTAATACAACAGTCTTTCTATTTCATGTAATCCATAAAAAGTGGGGCAAAGCGAAACTGCAAGGCAAATGTCTCTTCTGATTATGTTTCCCATGTGCCATTACAGCTGCTTATAATGCAGTGCAATTTGCTCAAACAGACCCTCATAATCATGTCCCTAAAATTCATAAACATGCAATACTTTATCTCAAAGAGGCCACTGGTGGTTATTAGCAAGTGGCCTCTCCAACATGCATATTTAATTATGCTTACTCTTTAACTACAGAGGATGTCATATAGCATAGTCTGAAAAATAAAGAAAGCTTGAAATATCATGTACCAGGTGAAAATATCCCATCGCCACAGCCCCCTGGCCAGCCAACCATCTCTCTCATTTTCCTTAGTGTGACATATTCCAAAAGTACAAACACTGGAGCAATTTCATAGGTGAACCTGAAATGTAGTAATGTCCACATTTAATGCTTTCATCTACAACACTAACACATCTTTTTCCAATATTACATTACATTATAGCCACAATATACTCTATCTTGTACTGTGTAAAGTTCTGTTTTACAATACTTTTGATAATCTTCCTTCTGATTTGACGTCGAATGTCTAGAAAGAGAAATGCTGAGGGCGCTTGAGACTCCATTTCCACCCATTTCAGTGAAATAAATCTTCCCCACCTCTTCCAGGCTCAAGGCTTTGCCCCTGTATTCAAGAGCTGCTGGGCAGAGCCAGACCTTCGCCTTGCAAAAACCTGTGTGTGAGCCTAGAAGCATACACATCAGCAGGCCCATTCATGATGACAAGACAGTGCATGAAGCTAAGCAAGTGCACAAAAATGCTTCCTAGTCCCACACTTTAAATTCTGCACCTCTTTCTTACGGAAAGCAATGGCTCTAACTGCTCTGAGTATGGATTGTACATAAACCCTCTACATGAATGCAACTGTTCACTTTGCACACCTTTCATTTTACACATTTATGCATGCAAAATGCTAAAATATTTTTTTCTGTATTTTTTTTGGGGGTAGCAAAACCGATATCATATTAGTATGATGAAATTTTACAGAAAACAGCCTACAGGACAATGTTGAAAGTCTTCATGTAAACAGCTGTAGCAACCATTTAAAAAGAAGACAATTGTTTTTCCAGCAACCTTAACATAAAAGTATTCTTTCTTTCATTCAGCTACAGCAGCTAATATTTTGGAGTATAACCGTAAAATTATATTAAATATTATTACGGAAAAAAATCTGCTACTTACATATTAGTATTTGCTGCTGATGTCAGCCAGTCTGCTGCCAATCCAACCATGTCCAATCCAGTTGAAAGTTGATTAAAATATCTAGGGTGCCCTGCATAAGATGGAAAATGTTATCAAAAGGCTAACGACTCTGAATGAAACTATTCAGTGCTGAACGGTATATTTACCTCCGGATTTCTATAGAGAAGGAAGCGCTTTCAAGGTACGAAAGAAAGCAAACAGCAATAAATACATTTCTTGGAAAAGGCAGGATTTCTCTTCTTTCTCATTCCAAACTCAGTAAAATCAGAGTAATTACACTGAACGCAGAATAATGAATTCCAACACTCCCTATTATCCTCTTAATATGCCTTGAAAATCAGCACATCGCTGCCTCACAAAAATAGCTGTTTGCTCCCGTTAGTGTGTCACATGTTGTCACTGGATGTGTTTTTGCCTGGCTAGGTTTGAAAGGCACGCACAAGACACCATCTGAAGAGCTTGCCAGTACATATAACATCAGTGATGAATGGCTAATGATTATAATAGACAGGGTGAAATGAGAAAATGGAACATTTTGGTGACTGCTTTGCACGTGACTCAAAGGCTGATGATTGTACGAAGATGGCAGAGAAGGTGGCGGTCCTTGTCATTTCTTCCCTGTCAGAGTGCAATTACAAATAGCCTGGCTGCTCGCAATTGTGATTTTAAATAAACCCCACGAAAACCAGCATTGCTGCTCCAGCAGAATGACGCACAAGAATATACTCAATGAGCTGATAGTCCATTTACCTGGTTAATCTAATTGGCTCCTGATTTTTTTCTAAAATCCTGTTAGAGATTTTTCTTAAAAACGTGCCTAGACCCATTAAACCCAGGAACCATTAAAAAGCAGTTTTCACTAGTTGCTCCCCACAAGTCCCTGTTAAGTGGCATAATTACCGGTACAAATTACGGATGCTTCACAATTACTTAAAAGCTGTCCAACTCAAAAGACAGCAGCCTCTGCTTGGAAAACACCTGTCCTGACCCACAGACAACGTACTGTTATTGCTATCACAGAAAACAAAAGATAGAGCAAGATGATTGAGGAAATGCAGACCCAGCACCAAGAGAAAACTTATCTTCGGTCTCTGGTGGCCTCTTATCAGGCGCGGACACATGGCTGGCAGAACAGCACGGGGAATTGGTCCCCGTCTCCCACCTTGCACACACAAAGGCAGAGTAATCAGGCTGTGCGGGCAGACCAGAGCAGGGGATAAGAGGCTGGGGGGGAGCTCACGCACAAAATCCAGCTCCCTGAACCCTTAACCTGAGACGAGCCCCATGCCGCTGCCATCCTGCCTGACTGCGTTTTGCACTGAGCCCTCCCCACCGGAGATAGGAACTGCCACCTCCCCCTGGTCCACGCTGCCCAGGACAGGCGACCAAAGCCCCTCAGGCACCAAGGGACACTGCCGAGATCCAGCAGGATGAACAGGATCCGGCCCCCACCCCGCGCGCTCTCGAGTGGGGTAGGTGGGCCTGGGGCACACGTGCACCCCGCCACCACTGCCAAAGCCACAGCGATCCCGCGCCAGGGGCTCTGCCTGCAGAGGACTGCATCTCCCCTGACGATGGGATTTTGAGAGAGATTTCAGTCATTATAGCTCGGGTTCAACCCCACAGCCAGGCTCCAAGCGGGTTCCCAAATTCTGCTGGAAAGCAACAGAAAATTAGCAGCTGAAAGCCTTTGGTGAATCTGGGCCACAGGAAGGCTCAAGAAAAACTCCTGCTTTGGAAATAAATCCACGCTGAAAAGCTAGGGAACAGCAGAATTCATATTTGCAGCTGCAGTGTCTCGGCGGCTCTCCGTCAGCCCCGTACCCAGCTCCAGGCGACAGCGCTGTTGTCACTGCTTGTTTCTTCAAGGAAACCTCACAGCGCACCTCCTGCTTTGGGAACCGCCGTAGGAACAGGGCCGGCTGCACGCAGGGGTCAGGGCGGCCATACCCTGGAGCAAG